AAATAGGTAACAAAACGTAACGAAGAATTTTGAATAATATCAATCTCGGTGTTTTCTCGGAAAGCACAGTAAGCTGAGACATTAACACTATAGTTTATTTGTCTCATTGTCTGATCTATAAACTTTATCTTATACTATCTGATAAATATTTTGTACTAAGCATTAATACTTTTCTTATATTAAGTCTGCCGATCATTATACATTATACATTTGCTCTATATATATCATACATATACCAATGAATTTTCACAGTAGCACAAACTCTAGGTAATAGGGAATGAGTTTTGTTTTCATTTTGCTACTCTAATTATATATTAAGATATGCCAAGTATCATATTCCATCATTAACAAATCCTTATAATGTATATGTTTGTTATTGTCAAAAATTCAGAGATGAAAAAGTAATCCTGATGTATCTTATAAGTATCGTCATTTTTGTTGTAAAATTTGATTTTCTGTTTTATTTATAGACCAAATAAAAGCAAAGAAGACTATTGTTACTAATGGCGTCTGGTGGTTCGGAGGACGATGAATGGAGTAAGTACATTGTATTTCATCGTGGTTTTGATTTTATGTGCCTGAAAGGCTCTATTTATAAGGACTTTTCTGATTAATCACATGGTCATATGCTGTGATGAATGACGAACAGTATACTGGCTTTGAAGCTTACAAAGTTTGTTGAAAAGAGAAAATATATCAAAATCATTAAAACAATTCCACATGTTTTTAAGAATAGGTAAAAAGTTCAGCGTTATTAAACCGCATATCGGGAATAATTTCGTGTTAAACCAAATATCTTGTAACTTATAAAAGGGAGGTAACTCCTACTGTCACAGCGATAACCACATTGCCGTTATATTAATGCCCAAATATACCCATCATTTAGCAAATTTATGTGATTTAGAGAGATTTTAAGAAACAAAGCATATTTAATCTTGGTATTATCTATTAAGAAAGAACTGCTATCAAATGAGATAAATATTAATAAAAAGCTGAAAAGTTAGACGAAGGAGTGACAAAACGGTATGCTAGGCCTAGAGAGAGTTTACAGGTAGAGTACGATGTCGCACATGATTCACACTTGTCGTGACGTTATATCACACGTAGAATGCAGGTATACAGTCTTTCGACAACGTTTGTAAATGGAGGCATGTTTACAAAGAGTTAATTAAAATGTATCAATACCAACGAACGATATCGTTTTTTTTTTTTTTTTTTGTTTTTTTGTTTTTTTTTTTTTTTTTTTGTTTTTTTTTTCTCAGTTATGTTTTTATTATAGCCATTGGATTCTTCTTTCCAATATTTCATGTTGGGGTTTTAACACATCATCAAGTGCCAGGAAAGAGAGTTAAAATAGCATTATGTGCTCCGCTATTTATATCCTTGGGCGTTTCCACAACTATAACGAACTTACCATATAAAACAACAAAATTGCATTACAAACCTAGTATGTTAATGCACAGAAAAAGCTTCCTCTACAAATTAAAATCCCTTGATGCCGCAGATCTACTTAATACATAGAAACTTTTAGTACTGCTTAATTAACGTTTCCAAGCCGTAGTACAACGTACAACGAAACTGGCCGATATATTGTTGTCTCAGTTTTAACGTGGAGCTGTGCAATTGACGAGGCATGGGAAAAAAGCATGAAAACAGCCGTTATAGATTTCAGGTACGTGTGTGATATGTGCTAACTAGTTAATTAAGATAATAAAGCTATGACACTTAAACGAAAGAAATGTAGAATTTGAAAACCACTATCGAAGCGACTGCATTGTTCGATGCCTACTACAGGCAAACTACGTATGAACATCTGTATAAATTCGGTACATCATTTACTTATTATAGCAATATCCGTTACAGTATAACTAGAAATGCTGGATCTTTATCAATTATATATGATTTCTTTTCAGTCAATTTGGCCAATTAGCAGATATATAAACACCAATATTTTTCCATATCTTAGATTATACTAAGTATGGACTGACTGGTGTTTCGCCTGGAAAGATTTGTGCTGACGAACATCAAGGCGAATACATATTTTTTTTAAATTTCTTTCAGTATGAAATATAAACATCTATACATATCTATTACAAACGTAGAGTTAAATCCAAGTCTTAATTTGGATTGATAGAACGAACAAATGGAAGGCAGTAAAATGAAAACTCAGTAATTTTCTTATATTGACTAATGGTGATTTGCATTTTACTTCTGTTTGAGTCCTAAAATAGACTTTACACTAATACGTAATATCAGTAAGTGACTGCTGATGACCAATATACATATCATGAATTATAACAATAGAGTAAATTGTTTTTGTTTTTTTATTATCTTTTCGTTTTGGATAGAATAATTGAAACCGAAAAATAGGAAGGTAGTAAAATGAATATATAATGTTTTAAGATAGACAATATTTATGAGAGTAACATGGCCATCGCAACCGCCATTCTCTCGACCTGTCCCTCAGCATTTATAAGCCCACCATCATCAAATGGTAAGCTATTCAAATCGCTCTTCGTCCGTGGTCGTCGTCTGTTCGTCCGTACGTAAACAATTTTTGTGATTGCTATTTCGTAAGAAGTCCTGGGTGAATCTTTCTGACATTGCATCGGTAGGGTCCCTTGGTCCCTAGTTGTACCAGTTTGATTTTGGTCCTGATCAAAATAACAAAATGGCCGACAGGCAGCCGTATTGGATTTTTTCACTGAAGATTCTTGTCGCTGTATTTTGTTTTTAATATGAGCTATATCTCTCTCAAATTTCATATGTAGGTACCCGTTGGTCTCTAGATGTGCCCATGTAATTTTGGATTTTAGGACTGATCACTAAAAGAAAATGGCCGAAAGGCAACCATCTTATATTTTGTGGCTTTGAAAGTTTCTTATCGCTATCTGTTGATTCTTATTGGATCTTTCTTAAATTTCATATGTAGGTTCCCCTTAGTCCATAGTTGTGCCAATTTGATTTTGAACTTATCAGAAAAAAAAGGCCAACAAGCGGCCATCTTGGATTTTGACGTCGAAAGTTTGTTATCACTATTTCATGAGAACTACCCTATAGATCTTTCTCATATTTCTGGTATAGGTTCCTTTATGTCCCTTGTTGTGCCTGCTTAAGTGTGGGACTGATCAGAAAAAACAAAATGGTCAACAGGCAGCCATCTTGGATTTTGTGTAGTAAAGATTGTTATTGCTATTTCTCACTGAATGGATATCTCTCAAATTTCATACGTATGTTCCCTTTGCTCTCTCCTTGTGCTCGTTTGATTTTGGGACTGATCAGAAGAATAAAAATGGCTTCCTGGAGGCCAGTTTAAATTTGGCATGTAAAGATTATTATCGCTTTTTCTGCAAAGGAATGTTCAAATGTCTTATCATTAGAGGCAAATTTCGGCCTTATCAGATTTCTGATCATTTAAACGATTGAGAGGCATCCTTAACATGATAACTAAGGCACGGATATACGATTTCAAATATTTGTCATCATTCTTCTTTCGATGAAAATGATCGGTAGAGAGACATTTTAAGATATATGTTCTATCGGCAGGAAAGGAGAAAAGTAACAAGCATTAATTACTGTCTTTTCACCTGAAAGGACAAAAGAACTAAAGCATAATATATTTGTTTCCCAAAAAGCCGAGGAAATTTTTTCACATCTTTGTGCAGACATTGTTGTTGTTTCGTGCTTTCATAAATAAAAGTAAATCTCTCATACATTTTCGCTCTTTCACCTAACGATTGTCGTCTCGTTTTCCTTTCGGGCGTTAAAACGTTGGAACGAGATCAAAAGTGATATCAAGGGAAATTAATGAAATCGAGTGTAATGCCTTCTTTTTTATTAAAAAATACAAGAGAACGAACAGCGAAATGGTATCCTTATTGATATATACTAAAACGACCTACGATAGTCAAACACAGATGTCATAACAGAATATATTATTTTAATTTTCTGCGTTAGATAATGGAAGTTTATCAAATTATCATTAAGATGAGTGATGTTAACGGATAAAAACATAATTAAATTTTCATTGTATGACAAAATAGGAAAAATTAACAAAATTCAGTTGAGTGTCGATGTTTTGATATAGATACCTACAACAGTGGTTTGTAATTAACTCTAATACACTTACCATATATCTGAATTTGATAAGTCACAATAGCTAATTAGTGAAATGTCATTTCTATATTTGAAATGATATGTATAATACATGAATACTGACAAAAGGTAGAAATAATTCCTTAAATAACAATGCTGACGAGATGAAGATATTTGTAAAACAGTGCCTAGATTTATACCATTACCGAGGGGCTAAAGTTAGCAGGTGATTTATTGGATATTCCATTAACGAATCGAGCGGATTGGATATCTGAGTACCCGTTATCGAATCTCCAATCTCAAGAATTCGTTATTCGAATATCCAGTCTTCAATTCTAATTTCAGCCATCTTTATTTCTGGCATAAGCAAGACAATTTCAGATATATGGTACAAAGTTATATATTAATTAATGTTTACGGCAAAATTTAGGATTAAATTTTCATTGGCAGACAATATATTTTAACAACTTAAATATCAACGATTTATTTTCCTGTTTGGAATATACATATTGAAACCATATTTCTAATCTAGCACCGTGTTTCAAAATCTATTCACTGATTCATCAATAAGATTGTATTGCTGGTGTTAAGGCTTTCACTTTGATGTATGGAAGGTGTGGTACATTGTTTTTTCTCTCAATTCAGATCGCAGAGAAATAAATCGGTATCTAGAAATTTACAAATGATTGAAAGAAAAATATCGACACATACGGGTTGTTCTAACCGGCAAAGAAGGTGCCAGTAAGACTACCATATGTCGCCGTTTTCAGAAAGAACCTGTTGTCCTCAACTCGAGAGAGCCAACTGTAGGAGCTGTGTTACGTCCACACTTTCTTTCAGTCGACTTGAATTCCAGAACATGGAAGTATGAGAGTAACCGATTGCCTGATGATGTAGTGAAAGCTCGTTTGGGAGCTGTGATGAGAAACCAAGAAAAAAGCGGAAAAAATGGTTAAAAAAAGGTAATATATAGTAGATTCAGAGTATTTAATGTAATTAGCTTCAACCTATTAACATAACCTATTTTACACTCGTTTGGCGCTGACCAGAGATCAGTCTGCAAAACATTTAAGAATATCGTAGCTACCAACACTACCAACGATAAAGTTGTAGCTATAGAATAATTAAACACATATTCCATATCATCAGTCCACAAGTATCCAAATATCGTCAAAAGGCATTATATTGAAGAAACACATTTTCCATATCATCAGTCCACAAGTATCCAAATATCATCAAAAGGCATTATATTGAAGAAACACATATTCCATATCATCAGTCTACAAGCATCCAAATATCATCAAAAGGCATTATATTGAAGAAACACATTTTCCATATCATCAGTCCACAAGTATCCAAATATCGTCAAAAGGCATTATATTGAAGAAACACATTTTCCATATCATCAGTCCACAAGCATCCAAATATCATCAAAAGGCATTATATTGGAGAAACACATATTCCATATCATCAGTCCACAAGCATCCAAATATCATCAAAAGGCATTATATTGAAGAAACACATATTCCATATCATCAGTCCAAAAGCATCCAAATATCATCAAAAGGCATTATATTGAAAAAAAAACACAGATTCCATATCATTATTTTATTTTTCAATAATATATATTTCTGTTTATTTATTTTAAAATGTGTAAGAGCGTGTTGTTTCAGTTCTGGAACAGGACTAAATAACTGCTAGTATTGGTTACCGTTACCGCCTTTGGCAAATATTTATTTATCATGATATATACACAAATGAAGTCTAATAGTCGAGAAATTATAAAAGATATACACATGATCACCCATCAAAATATAAACTGCACGATTTTTATTCAGTTGACAAATAGTAATATCAGTAGTGTTGACTTCATGTAAGTTTTCTTAACATAGTAAATTCTCTTTGTTTCACTCTATCAGTGCCTCTTTTGTAACCTGCATTTTGCCAACATGTTGCCATGGCAACGTAACTCCATTATATTAATTATTGCTTGACGTCAAAAGTGTCGATTTCATTGGAATAAGTAACATATAAGTTTCGGCTAGAGCAAACATTTTTTCACTGTCTGGAATAATAAACAAAATTTAGTTGAGTGTCGATGTTTTAATACAGATACCTACAACAGTGGTTTGTAATTAACTATAATACACTTACCATATATCTTAATTTGATCAGTCACAATAGCTAATTAGTGAAATGTCACTTCTATATTTTGAAATAATAGATATAATACATTAATGCTGAAAAAAGGTAGAAATAATTTCTTAAATAACAATGCTGACAAGATGAAGATGTTTTATACCATTACCGAGGGACTAAAGATAGCAGGTGATTTATTGGATATTCCATCAACGAATCGAGCGCATTGAATATTCGAATACCCGTTATGAAATCTCCAAACTCAAGAATTCGTTATTCGAATATCCAGGTTTCAATTCTAATTTCAGCCACCTATATTACTGGCACAAGCAAGACAATTTCAGATATATGGTACAATGATATATATCAATTTTCCAATATCACAATAAGAAATGAGATATATATATATTGTACTTTGCAATTATCAGTTATAATAAATGAATAATAAAAAAACACAATATCAAGAAAATCAAAGTTGAAAAAATATTAAAAAACGTCAGGTGCTGGACAGGCCTAATGGTTCAAGCAGTGACGACGAATTTTCAACATCAAAACCACATGGCGCTAGATATATATCTTGAACGCTAAAATAAAGAAGTTAAGATAGGTATGTTTAACAAAATCAGTTATGAGTTATGAGCTGGAAGCTGGACACACGTTTATCCAATACCGTTACTATTAAACTGGCAATAACAATTACAAATATGTTATTAGTGACCGAAGGCAGCACAACAAAGCAAGTGTCTGTACGAGAAGTATCTGTGGAACAACAGAAAGAGGCAAGAGCTGTCTTAACGGCTTCACGTCGTGCTGACTCTGAGTTGGCATTCCTGTCCCTGTGGGATATGGGTGGACAAACGCCTTTCCAGGCTTCACACAATGTTTTCATTTCATTACACGGCGTGTATCTAATAGTCTTTAGACTGACAGATTTTCTCAAAGATAAGCTGGAAACAGGTAAGGAACTGAACAGTGATTTTACACTGGGAAAATTGGTACAGACGTTCACTGCTTAACAAAATACTTTATTTATGTTCAATCGTCGAAACCGGCTAGTGCCCGGCTAGTGAAAAAAACCTACTCTGCATTGTCAGAGTGAAAAGATCGTTTAATTAATCAAGGTTGCATAAATTGATCATCTACAGACCAATTACCCTCATATAAAGGGTCTTATGTACAAATCGGCAATGTATTATACAATTTATTTTGTCTGCTCTCGTGCAGTTCACTTGGTTTCCTTGTTATTCTAAATGTTCACGAAATGATACAAGTGGGACAATTCTGTAGTAAACATATTCATTAAAGATACAAGGCACGGACTTGAAAAGTTATCATAAGTAATGTGAACAATACATAGGATTTACAATACAGCATTTTATCTAAGGCATAATCACCATCTTTATTTTAACTCGATATATGTAAATGTGAAGGGTTAATGGTGGGGGTTCTGCTAATTGTATCATTTTTTTTCTATTCATTTATTATTTTTAATCTATTTATTTAAGGACACACGCGTCGATAGAGATTTAAACTTCTTATGGTCTACCTAACATTCGGTTTTACTTGGCAAAGTCTTTCTCGTCATCTTATCCCCAATTCATTATGTGTGTTTTCTTTGTGTTTTATATAACCACATATCCGTTTTCCACTTTTTTTGTCCTGCGAAAATATTAAATTACAGTTTATATACAAAAGTTGCCTTGTTGTCTAACTATATAGTGCATATATGCAGTAATTGTGTAGTTTCACACTATATATGTGTATGTAAGTATGTTAATGAAGTCTGAGGGATCCTGTTGATTGACCAATAAGCATTGTCCTGATAGAATGCCATGCTAGGGATTTTTGAGCCCCCACAACATAATATCAGTTATCGAGGGTAATTGTGCAATCCAACATTTATTACATTTGTTATTCGTATTATCCCATGTACGCTAATCACGTATTGATTAACCTTATTTGGTGTTTTTTTTTATTATAGATGTAATATGGTAGGGGGACATCTCATTCTGATCGCTTTGTTGGATTTGTGCCTGGATATGTCATTTAATTATCGGGGATTTAGTTCTTCGAGAATTCTATTCATTTTATATTCTTAGGGGTTTCTAACTCGAGTCTTATAGTAATAGAATATTCTTTTATAATATTATGTTTCAACATATCGTTGAGGGTCTACCCAGCCGTTGACTATTCTACCTCTCATGCAGCTTCTCTGAGGTCACTCACAGAGTCTTTTAGCTTCACTGCAACCGTCCAATGTCTGGTTGCTTTCCTGCGATTTTGTAGTTTGCACTTGTTGCTACTTTAGGGCACCTCAGGACCTCATTCGCAATTGCAATGTGTCTACGAGTAAGTATTTGATTTTTTTTACAGAGTGAGTGGCCCCTGGTACGATAAGCTTTCATGTACAATAATTCCGGTGTAATAAACAGGTCAAACTATACCTGCGAGTTTTATTGTATTTTAACTCAGGGTTTTACTTTAGACAGTCTTTCTCGTCACCGTCTCTTTGATTCATCACGTTTGTTTTCTCTTTTTTCCATATTTCCACCTTTGTCGTTACCTGTGTTGTCTAGTTTTGTTTGTCATTATTATTTGTACTTTTTGTTTTATTGTCAATCATGTATTAACTTTTTATACAGTCCGCCTGAAAAAATGGATCAGAATGATCGGCACGTTTTCCTCAGTTGAACTGAATGCACCTAAAACGAGAACATGTGCTCCTCCGATCATTTTCGTAGGCACGTTTCTTGATAAACTGAAGGAAAACTACGAGGTATGTAATAGCAATTACAGGTGTGTAATATTTAGCAATTCAAGCCAAAAACTTAAACATTTTCTAATTATTCTATCGTTTGCCTTTCTTTTGAGGATGGTTTATTTACGACGCAAGTCATTAATATAGATATTTCAAAATTCCTTTGACAGAGTGACGGAGTGTCAACAAAAATGTACTATTAATATTGATTAAAATAACTTGTTTCCTAATGTTCAAAACAGACAAAGTTGATGATTTCATCTTTTTAGACATAGCACAAACATGAATATTTTGAAAGATGTGTTTCTCATTTTCCCCAGGACTACGACAAACAGCAACAGAACATACGGTCAAGTATCTCCAAATTTCCCGAACTCTCATCTCACCAATTTGTCAAGTTCTGTGCAGTCGACAACAGCCTCGGCAATGAAGCCACAGACCTAAAAATGTTAAGAGATTTAATCACAGAAGTCGCTGTTCATCAGGATCAGTGGGAAAGACAACTCCCTACCACGTGGTTAAAACTAGAGATGGATTTACTTAAAGCAAGAGAAAGAGGAACAAGGATACTCAAAATGGAAGAGATTATCAAGATGAACAAATCATCTACAGTGCCATTGTCCGATGTAAATGAAATCAAACTTGCCCTGGAGTAAGTATATGTGAACCAAAAATGAATAGATACATAAAGCTGTTTCCAATAATAGATGCTGATATCAACATTCTTTATATCACACTTACGTTATCAAACGTTGTATACTGCATTTTCATTATACAGAATGCTATGAGACGCAATTTTAGGCCCAAATTTCCTTCGTCTTATCAAGAATTTTATAACAATATGAAGAGATCATCATATAATTGTTAAATTTGAACGATATATAAACTTAAGACAAAGGTAAGTATTGTGAATGCGTTCACTGTACTACAGTTACTTTGTGCCTTGGGGATATAATGTAAATAATTCCGTTTTAATGATCCTAGCAACAGAAAACTCGAGTTATACCACTACAACTTAAGCTTAGTCTACTTCAGTAGGACATTGATATTTCTTAACCACAAAAACCACAAAGGGGTACGATACTTTATGTAAAATAATCAAAGAGTCTTATTTAAAATTTGAAATGAAATGTTAATTGTTTCATTTTGAACCACACTCCTTAGGTAGGCTTGATATACATGATTCCGCGTTAGACCTTACCAATACGAACTGATAAAACATATATTTATTAAACAGAGGTCGTAGACATTTATATCTAAGATTCGTTCAGTCACACTCACTAAGTATCATCACGAGACACATCTTACACAGTATCATCACCAGGCACATCTCACACAGTACCATCACCAGGCACATTTCACACATTATCATCACCAGCCACCTCTCACACAGTACCATCTCCGGACACATATCACACAGTATCATCACCAGACACATCTCACACAGTATCATCACCAGGCACATCTCACACAGTACCATCACCAGGTACATCTTATACAATATCATCACCAGGCTCTTCTTACACAGTATCATCACCAAACATCTCTCATACAGTATCATCACCAGGCACATGTCACACAGTATTATCATCAGGCACATCTCACACAATACCATCACCAGGCACCTCACACACAGTATCATCAAATTACACATCTCACACAGTATCATCACCAGGCACCTCACACACAGTATCATCAAATTACACATCTCACACAGTATCATCACCAGGCACATGTCACACAGTATCATCAGCGGGCACCTCTCACACAGTATCATCACCATTCACATCTCACACAGTATCATCACCAGGCACATCTCACACAGTATCATCACCAGGCAGTATCATCACCAGGCACATGTCACACAGTATCATCATCAGACAAATCTTACACAGTACCATCACCAGGCACCTCTCACACAGTATCATCAACCGGCACATCTCACATAGTATCATCACCAGGTATATATCACATATTATTATCACAAGGCACATCTCACACAGTACCATCACCAGGCACCTCTCACACAGTATCATCAACCGGCACATCCCACATAGTATTATCAAGAGGCACATCTCACACAGTATCATCACTAGTAACATCTCGCACACTATCATCACCAGGTACATCTCACACAGTATCATCACCAGACACATCTCACACAGTATCATCACCAGGCACATCTCACACAGTACCATCACCAGGCACATCTCACACAGTATCATCACCAGGCACATCTCACACAGTATCATCACCAGGCACATGTCACACAGTATCATCACCAGGCACATCTCACACAGTATCATCACCAGGCACATCTCACACAGTATCATCACCAGGCACATCTCACACAGTATCATCACCAGGCACATCTCACACAGTATCATCACCAGGCACATCTCACACAGTATCATCACCAGGCACATCTCATACAGTATCATCACCAGGCACATCTCACACAGTATCATCACCAGGCATCCCTCACACATTATCATCACCAGGCATCCCTCACACAGTATCATCACCAGGCAGATGTCACACAGTATCATCACCAGGCACATCTCACACAGTATCATCACCAGGCACATGTCACACAATATCATCATCAGACAAATCTTACACAGTATCATCACCAGGCAGATGTCACTCAGTATCATCACCAGGCACATCTCACACAGTATTATCACCAGGCACATTTCACAGAGTATCAACAACAAGCACATTTCACACAGTGCCATCACGAGGCACATCTCACACAGTATCATCACCAGGCACATATCACACAGTATCATCACCAACCATATCACACAAAGTAACATCACCCGGCACATCCCACACAGTATCATCACCAGGCACATCTCACAGTATCATCACCAGGCACATGTCACACAGTATCATCATCATGCAAATCTCACCAGGCAGTCATCACCAGGTATATCTCACATATTATTTTCACCAGGCACCTCTCACACAGTACCATCACCAGGCACATATCACACAGTATCATCACCAGGCACATGTCACACATTACCATCACCGGACCCATCTCACACAGTATCATCACCAGGCACATGTCACACAGTATCATCACCAGGCACATCCAAAACAGTATCATCACCAGGTATTTCTCACAGAGTATTAACACTAGGCACCTCTCACACAGTATCCTCCTCATGCACATCTCACATAGTATTATCACCAGGCACATTTCACAATTTCCGTTCACCTGAGACATCTCATACAGTATCATCACCAGGCACATGTCACACAGTATTATCATCAGGCACATCTCACACAATACCATCACCAGGCACCTCACACACAGTATCATCAACCGGCACATCCCACATAGTATTATCACCAGGCACATCTCACATAGTATCATCACCAGGCACAGGTCACACAGTATCATCAAATTACACATCTCACACAGTATCATCACCATTCACATCGCATACAGTATCATCACCAGGCACATGTCACACAGTATTATCATCAGGCACATCTCACACAATACCATCACCAGGCACCTCACACACAGTATCATCACCAGGCACATCTCACACAGTACCATCACTAGTAACATTTCACAAAGCATCATCACCAGGCATATCCCACACAGTATCATCACCAGGCAGATCTCACACAGTATCATCACACAGTATCATCTTCAGGCACATCATACATAGTATTACCACAAGGCACATCTCACATAGTATTATCACCAGGCACATTTCACACAATTCCATGTCCAGGCACATCTAACACAGTACCATCACCAGGTACAACCACACAATATCATCACCAGGCACATCTTACACAGTATTATCACCAGGCATATGTCTCAAAATATTATCACCAGATTCATCTCACACAGTACCATCAACAGGCACATCTCACACAGTATCATCACCAGGCACATCTCACATGGTATCATCACCAGGCACATCTCACACGGTATCATCACCAGGCACATCTCACACAGTATCATCACCAGGTACATCTCACACAGTATCATCACCAGGTTTATCTCACACAGTATCATCACCAGGCATATCACACAGTATCATCACCAGGCACATCTCACACAGTATCATCACCAGGCATATCTCACACAGTATCATCACCAGGCACATCTCACACAGTATCATCACCAGGTACATCTCACACAGTATCATCACCAGGCACATCTCACACAGTATCATCACCAGGCACATCTCACATGGTATCATCACCAGGCACATCTCACACAGTACCATCACCAGGCACCTCTCACATAGTATCATTAACCGGCACATCCCATATAGTATTATCAAAGCAGATCTCACACAGTATCATCACCAGGCACATGTCACACAGTATCATCACCGGGGACATTTCACACATGTCACACAGTATCATCAGCGGGCACCTCTCACACAGTACCATCACCATTCACATCTCACACAGTATCATCACCAGGCACATGTCACACAGTATCATCATCAGGTACAACCCACACAGTATCATCACCAGGTATATCTCACATATTATTATCACCAGGCACCTCTCACACAGTACCATCACCAGGCACATGTCACACAGTATCATCACCAGGCACCTCTCACACAGTACCATCTCCGGACACATCTCACACAGTATCATCACCAGACACATCTCACACAGTATCATCACCAGGCACATCTCACACAGTACCATCACCAGGTACATCTTATACAATATCATCACCAGGCTCTTCTTACACAGTATCATCACCAGGCATCCCTTACACAGTATCATCACCAGGCAGATGTCACACAGTATCATCACCAGGCAGATGTCACACAGTATCATCACCAGGCACATATCACACAGTATCAGCACCAGGCACATGTCACACAGTATCATCAAATTACACATCTCACAGAGTATCATCACCAGGCACATATCACACAGTATCATCACCAGGCACATATCACACGGTATCATCACCAGGCACATCTCACACAGTATCATCACCAGGCACATCTCACAGTATTATCACAAGGTACAACCCACACAATATCATCACCAGGCTCTTCTTACACAGTATCATCACCAGGCACATGTCACAGGTATATATCACATATTATTATCACAAGGCACCTCTCACACAGTACCAACACCAGGCACATATCACACAGTATCATCACCAGGCACATGTCACACAGTATCATCACCGGACACATCTCACACATTATCTTCACCAGGCACATCTCACACAGTACCATCATCAGGCACATCTTATACAATATCATCACCAGTCTCTTCTTACACAGTATCATCACCAGGCACATGTCACACAGTATCATCAGCGGGCACCTCTCACACAGTACCATCACCGGACACATGTCACACAGTATCATCACCATTCACATCGCACACAGTATCATCACCAGGCAGATGTCACACAGTATCATCACCAGGCACATATCACACAGTATCAGCACCAGACACATGTCACACAGTATCAACACTAGGTACAACCCACACAGTATCATCACCAGGTATATCTCACATATTATTATCACCAGGTTTATCTCAGACATTATCATCACCAGGCAGTATCATCACCAGACACACAAAGTATTATCACCAGGCACATCTCACACAGTATCATCACCATTCACATTTCATACAGTATTATCACCTGGAATCCCTCACACAGTATCATCACCAGGCTTCCCTTACACAGTATCATCATCAGGCACATGTAACACAGTATCACACCAGGTATCACACAGTATCATCACCAGGTATATCACACAGTATCATCACCAGGCACATCTCACACAGTATCATCACCAGGCACATCTCACACAGTATCATCACCAGGCATCCCTCACACAGTATCATCACCAGGCATTCCTCACACAGTATCATCACCAGGCAGATGTCACACAGTATCATTACCAGGCACATATTACACAGTATCATCACCAGGTACAACCCACACAGTATCATCACCAGGCACATGTCACAAAGTATCATCAACAGGTACAACCCACACAGTATCATCACCAGGCATCCCTCAATCAGTATCATCACCAGGCCTCCCTCAACAGTATTATCACCAGGCACATAGTATCATCATCAGGCACATCTCACCTAGTATCATCACCAGGCACATGTCACACACTATCATCACCAGGCACATCTATCATCACACAGTATCATCACATTTCACATATCAACCAGGCACCTTTCACACAGTACCATCACCGGACACATCTCACACAGTATCATCACCAGGCAAATGTCACACAATATCATCATCAGACAAATCTTACACAGTACCATCACCAGGCACCTCTCACACAGTATCATCTTCAGGCACATCATACATAGTATTACCACAAGGTACATCTAACATAGTATTATCACCAGGCACATTTCACACAATATCATCACCAGGCACATGTCACACTGTATCATCACCGGGCACCTTTCACACAGTACCATCACCGGACACATGTCACACAGTACCATCACCAGGCACATGTCACACAGTACCATCACCAGGCACCTCTCACATAGTATCATCACCAGGCACATCTCACACAGTATCATCACCAGGCACATCTCATACAGTATCATCACCAGGCACATCTCTTCTTCTCACACAGTATCATCACCAGGCACATGTCACACAGTATCATCACCAGGCACATGTCACACAGTACCATCAACAGGCACATCACACACAGTATCATTACCAGGCACATCTCACACAGTATCATCAACAGGCACATCACACACAGTATCATTACCAGGCACATCTCACACAGTATCATGACCAGGCACATCTCACACAATATCAAAACCATTTACATCTCATACAGTATCATTACCAAGCACATTTTATACTGTATCATCACCAGGCACATCATACACTGTATTATCACCAGGCACATCTCACACAGTATCATCACCAGGCACATCATACACTGTGTTATCACCAGGCACATCTCACACAGTATCATTACCAAGCACATATCACACAGTATCATTACTAGTTACATTTCACACAGTATCATCATCCGCACATCCCACACATTATCATCCCCAGGCACATCTCATATAGTATCATCAGCAGGCACAGGTCACACAGTATCATCACCAGGTACAATCCACACAGTGTCATCACCAGGTATATATCACATTATTATCACAAGGCACCTCTCACACAGTACCAACACCAGGCACATCTCACACAGTATCATCACCAGGCAAATGTCACACAATATCATCATCAGGCACATCTCACACAGTACCATCACCAGGCTGATGTCACACAGTATCATCACCAGGCACATGTCACACAGTACCATCACCAGGCACATCTCACACAGTAACATCACCGGACACATCTCATACAGTATCATCACCAGGCACACATACCACACAGTATCATCATCAGGCACATCTGACATAGAATTCTCACCAAGCACATGTCACAGAGTATCATCAAATTACACATCTCACACAGTATCATCACCATTCACATCTCATAGAGTATCATCACCAGGCTGATCTCACACATTATCTTCACCAGGCACATCTCACACAGTACCATCACCAGGCACATCTTATACAATATCATCACCAGGCTCTTCTTACACAGTATCATCACCAGGCACCTCTCACACAGTACCATCACCAGGCACATCTTGTTCAGTACCATCACCAGGCACATCATACACTGTATTATCACCAGGTATATCTCACATATTATTATCACCAGGCACATCTCACACAGTATCATCACCAGGCACATGTCACACAGTATCATCATCCGGCACATACCACATAGTATTATCACCAGGTATATCTCACATATTATTATCATCAGGCACATCTCACATAGTATCATCACCAGGCACATGTCACACAGTATCATCAAATTACACATCTCACACAGTATCATCACCATTCACATCTCATACAGTATCATCACCAGGCTGATCTCACACAGTATCATCACCAGGCAGATGTCACACGGTATCATCACCAGGCACATGTCACACAGTATTATCACAAGGCACATCTCACACAGTATCATCACCAGGCACATATCACACAGTATCATCACCAAGCAGATGTCACACAGTATCATCACCAGGCACATATCACACAGTATCATCACCAGACACATATCACACAGTATCATCTCCAGGTAAATGACATTCGCTATCACAAACAGACAGAGCTTACACATTACCACCACTCTTCACAGCTCAGGACCGGATCATACAGTAATAAAAAAAGTTATCAGGTTACAACATACAGATTATATCCACCAGTCGAGCTCATACCGTATCATCACAAGGTACAACACATATATATCTCCACCGGGAGCAGTATCACCGTGTCTGACGTCTGTATATTCTTGTAGGCACAAAGCACGTGATATGATGCATATGGTAAATGGAATGTAGGAATGGTAACTAAACAAAGTATTATTAGGCAGCTATTCGTTACTTAAAATGCTATCGACAATCTCAGGCATGCCTCAGATGTAATTGTATTGTTATTGTCGTCGAAAACATTTTAATAGTGATGATTATAAGTATCATGATATTACCAACTTACATAACCATTACAAATAAGATGATTAATGGAGGAAATGGTGACAAGCTAACCAGTTTCCCATTTTCCTTGACGTCATTATCATATGAATTTGGTGACGTCACACCAGTTGTGTAAAATATACTTCATTCAATAATATATCATTTCTTTCAGATATTTTTTTTTCATTTGAATGTTTTTAAGTCTAAATAAATTACTTAGAATAACGAATAACTCTAATTTGTCCGTAAATGTAAAGTTATATGGTAGTTATATGGTATAAATTATTGTGCTTAAAAACTGGAAAGTATTTTGATATTGATTGATTTCTATTTTATTTCTTTATTATGTAGATCATATGTTTATTTTTGGAGTAAAATAACACATTTAATTTTAGATATCTTCACTGCACAAGGTCTGTGATTTATTTTCGGGAGTTTGACTACGTCATCAACGACCCCCAGTGGCTTGCCGATTTCTTCAGTATCCTGATTACCGATGACAAGTTTCTCCCAAAAGACGACCTTTCAATGATCAGGCACCAGGAGCTGTACCAAACAAAGGGCGAGTTGACACAGGAACTGATTAACGGTCTCTTACGTCTGGAGAAGAATAAAGCTTTCCTTCCACATAAATCCATTCTTTTGGCGCTGATGGAAAAATTTGGGTTGATAGTGAAAATGCTGATCTCAGGACCCGAAACTGAACATCCACAGTTCAGTGAGACGTTCACCATTCCAAGTAAACTGGTGGAGCTTCAAGACATCGACGTAATAACCAGAGAAATCACCAGCCTGAAGAGTAGATCGCTTGGTGTTTCTAAAGCATTATGCTTCGTATTCAACGATGTTTATGTACCTGATGAGTTGTTTCATAGAATCTTTGCCCACATCCTGAGGACGTACAAGCCGACATCATTGTCAACAAGAAGCCTCCAAACAACAACTGAAATAGACCAGACGGGGTCGAGCAGTGGTAACGTTTGTCTTTATAGAGGTTTTGGATGTTTCGAGATCAACGACCTCTGTAGAATGATCCTATCCATGCAGCCTGAGAGGTCCACTATTGTCGTGACTGTATTCAGTCCAACGGAAACGCATCTTCCCGCAGATTGTGGAAAAGACGTCAGGCTCTCAATCGAAGGGATTATTCGTGACGCATTGGAAATGAGTGACCAGCAGCACTTTCAACATACACACAAACTACACTGTAGTTTTTCCCTGAATCCATACGACACCCCTGTAGACCTGTACGGCATCAACCGCTCAGAGAAGGGTGTGCCTTGTAAAGGGGGAGATTGTCACGGACAACACCTACTGGTAAAAACGGACACCGCGTTTTGGCACATTACAGAGGTAAATCAAATGTTTTTTCTTCTCCTGATACTATATAACCAGGTATATTAATTCCTTGTCGGCCCGACTGACTGGCTGGCTGGTTGGCTGGCTAGCTGGCTGGCTGAATGACTGACTGGCTGACTGGCTGGTTGACTGTTTCTCTGTTCGATCCACCTGACGTTTTCTGTTACATCTGGCCTCCCCACTTCCGAGGAATATTTTCGTAAATGTAAAATATATTCTTAACTGCTGCGTTTGCAATTTCTATGTAATACCTTAGAGATTAGTCTTGTCAGAGTTCCAGAAAATTTGGCATAAAAAATTTGTGTAGTTCTATGGTGGCAATTTGTGTCTTCTTAACCCTATCCCTACTAGAAACCAAAAATCGGTCATATACTTAAAACTTTCTTTGAATCGCTAACATTGAATTTTCCATTATAATGTGCGCATATGCGTTCAAATGTTATATCATTATCTATCATTACCTTAGGCTTTATTCACTGATACCTCTAATAATGACTCATCCTTTAGAAAATATGTATGTTTCATCAATTTCCGAACGATATACACAGATTTGAACTTTCCCACGTAGTATCGTAAGAGTTTTTATTAACATTCCATATGCTCCGCTCTGAGGTATTGTTTATACCAATTGCAATGTATTCCCACCTTTAGGTGCAAAAATATTCTACTTTCTGGCAAATTAAAAAAAATGAGATGTCTACATATTTACAGCGTGATCCAACAATTGTTCAATTATTGCAAAAGGCTTTCGATATTCTTCTTGAATTTTATCACCCAAAAAGCATCTAATCAATCTAATGATGCTCAGATCGTTTGCTAAGAGCGCATTTTAATATAAATTTCGAATAAGATAAAGCCAAGAGCTGGATTAAAATGCATCATACGGCTGTTTCGGTCTTGTATTTAATAAACATCCTGTCCAGGTAGCTGGTTTTCCAAGATTTTGATAAAGGGCAGGAAATAATACTTAACGCTCCTAGAAAAAGGTTTCCATGTGACTCCGTATTTTCTCGGTAGCTTTCCATGTTTCCCAATTCAGATTTTGACACTGAAGGAGTCAATAACAAGAATATTGGAATATATTTTGTCAAAAGTTCGAACATAAGAGATCGCAAGTGCTCATTATTATTTCGGGTTCCACTCTGTGATTTTAATGACGAATGCATCTTTATTATCTAGTGTCATTTCTGTCGATATTTCATTTCCACACGACGTCTTCTTTAAATGTGTTAGCCATAATTTAATAAAATATCAAAATAAAATTTTGTTTACGTTTAAGATTAAATGGTAGTTTCAATCCCGTGTATTTTTGTCTTACTCCTACTTGTGACTTCGTGGGTTTCAGTTCAGATTTAAGTTGTTCTGTCAAAGTGCTGTACCTAAATTTGTTATATTTGTTTGCGAGAGTTCCAACGCGAAGGACGACATCTGGTGAGTGTATATCTATAAACCTGCGGTTAAACATTGGGAAATGCGTATACGGAAATCTAAACCGCGTAACAAAAAACCTAGTTGTTGATTTATTTTTCAATATATCTAACAAGATGATGTCTATGTTTTCATATCTTACGTCTTATATTGAATAACAGGTCTAGTTAATGGCTCGTTTTGAGTGTTGAATGGTTCTTTTTCGCCCATGCTAAAAAATCCGTTTTCGCCTAGTGTTAAATTATCTTTAAATAAATTTATCTCACAATTCAGTCCACATTTTATTTTCGTGGCAAGAGATTAAAACTTATTGTTGTAATATTTCAGAAGAGGACACAAATGCTGATACGACGTTTCCTCACGTGAGGCCAACGCCGCGGCAACTTAGTCGACTCTCCCGTCTGGTAACCGGGCCTACAATTGACCTGTTTATTAGGCTTGGTATTTCTTATGAGGAAATCCAAACCACTCAACGTTCCTTAATAGGATATGCGCCAGAATCAGTGACTACCAAGTTGTTTCTAAAATGGACGGTGACCTACCCGAATCAGACGTTCCAAAACATTAAACGGGCTATGGAGGATGCTGGCATAGCCACTGATCGAATTGATGAAATGATAAATACAGAGGAGGAACTCCAATGTGAAGGTATGCAGAAAATTACATCATTTGTTGTTCACATGATTGGTTATTTGATAATCCGTAAAAATAAGCTTGAAAATAAAACAATAAAACAAAACAAACTAAACACAACATTATATTATTTTACTTTACATAAAATCTTTGATTGATATGTAGGAAACACAGAGAAGGTATGGGTTAAGGCAAACTCAGCAATTTAAGGAAGATTACGTTGATTGATATATAAAGATAAATATATATTGCGCAATACCCATGTAGGAGTAAGTGTGCCTACGTGCCGCCGTGCGGAAAGACATGCCACGGTGCTAACGAGGAGTCACAGACACTGACTGTGCCACCACCAGGAATACAGGCCTTCAGAGTGGGAAGCTGGGGATGGCAGATAAAAATCTGTGAAGCTATCCCTGCCCCGCCAGAAGGCTGCAGACATGACCTCCTGAAAGGAGGACCCAATGAGAAGGGCCAAGAACGCAGCGAGGGCCCTGACCTCATGAGCCTGCATTTTCACCCTCACCCGAGCCTGATCATCAGATTGCTCGAAAGCGTACTGAATGACCTGGAAAACCCACCTGGAAACCGACTGGTAGGACATATATCGTTGTCCCTGTTTGCTGGGGAGAAATAGACGGGATCAAGTGTCCGTCCCCTGGTTTTATCGAGATAATCCAGGCCTCCCACTTCCTGGATGACGGAACCCAGTTGGACAGGAGGAACATCTGGAGAGGTCTGATGTGAAGCCTCCCTAGGGAGACCACATCTGCCAGGAAGTTGAGATACCCGAGAAAACTGAGGAACCAATGCGATGAAGGTCAGAGCCCGTGTCGAAACGGTTCCCCAGGAAAACGAACTCCTGAGATGGGGAAACCTCTGACTTCTCTCTGGAAGGAATGAAGCCGACTCTGAGCAAAACTTTCAGGACCAGACGGGTGTCCTTCACTAGCGATTTCCTCACCAAGTGAAGCATGAGGGAGTCGTTGAAATAGATGTGACGTCTATTCCGCAAGAATGAAGGAATCCCACGACCACCTACAGCAGCATGGTGAAAATCAAAGGAGCTGTCATGAGCCCAAAGGGCATGGCCCAGAATTGGAATACCTTGCCGTTGCACGTAGGAACTTCCGTGCCGACTTCTTGATGGGGATATGGAAGTAGGCATCCTTCAGATCTACTGAAGTTGCCCACAATCCGTCCCTCACAGAGGCCATTATGCCCCGTGGGGTCTCCATCTTGAAGTGAAGATAATCTACGTGCCTGTTGAAGGCACTGAGATCTATGATCTTCTTCCGAACCAGAAACATTCTGGAGTAGAAGCCGGGAGTGCATTCCGACATAGGAACCTCCTCTACTGCGCCCTTGGCAAGCATGGTCGCTTCTTCCTCCTGATGCGCCCGAGTCTTTTCCGCATCCCCCGGAGGAGGAAAGAAAATTGGTTGGGCGGCGAGGGGCGGATCCGGAAGAAGGGGAAATACCTAGACACTGCCTGACCACAGACAATTTCCAAGCCACTGCGGAAGAAAAGCGGAGAACCCTCCCCCCGCCCTCCCTCACCTCAGAGGAAGCTCCGGATGGGGCAGATCGAGACCCTGCCAGACCAGCGAATCGTCTGCCCATCTGAAGCCTAATCCTGCGGGACAGGGACAAAAGCTTGAGACGGGAGGACCGCCGTCCACCCGACCCGCCTCTTGGTATGCTGCGGCCAACGAGCTGAATGAGTCAGGTACCCTTCTTCTTGCCCCCAGGAGGGTTCTTACCCTTCCTACCCATCCGCTTGTTGACCTTGAAGCGAGGCTTGGACTTGAACTGCGCAGACGGCTGAGCAGCCGAGGACTTCGCCCTCTTCTTAGGAGGCGCTGACCCCTGCGAAGCACTGGCCTTCTTCGCCTGTATCCTCTTTACAAGAAGTGTTGAGACGACTGAGTCCTCCTTCATATCCTTCTGTACAGAGGCAAGCGCCCGAGAAGGGTGCAGAAAACAATCGAGAGAGGCAGGGTTCCTCAACCAGGCGATTATTTAAGACTCTCAGAAGGTACCACTCCCTGCTCGAGGGCGGAGCTCGGCGGAATGAGAGTACCCTCGGCAGGAACGCCTAAATCACCCCCCGGTTCAGAGTCGGAGGCGGAGCACTTACAGGGCGAATCCCTCTTCCGACTGGATGTTCGCCGAACAGGCAGGGGGGTCTTGACGGTTGACTCCGTGTGCGAACAAAGTTCACACGGCGAAGTCTCACTGCAAGGCCGGCTCAAAGGTCAAAGACTACCGTAACGTGGCAACACTGCAAGAAAAACGGCCGCACAAAAACAGCCGACAAAGCAGCAAAATAATAACAAACTTCACGTAATATCCGAAACAGCGAAACACGTGGTCACGCACTCAACACGTGGAGAACACGGCCGAAAAATAGGCAGAAATAAACATATAAGCAAGTCGTATAACGACAATATAAATTGGGATATGGGTAAAAACTTCAAAATTAGTAACAAATAATCCTCAGGCAATGAATGAAAGTACTACGAGAAGGAAAAGAAGACACTCAGCTTAAAACCATCCGGACTCGTAGCCATAAAGGAAAGAGGAAGGAAGATCACTCTATGTTTCTGCCGTGATGGTTCATGGATCGTAGGGAGGGCGGGATATTTTAATCTTTTGTTTTTAGGGTGGGTGTAGGTACCATATTTGCATACTAAAGTTATGGTAATTATTACTGAAATGTAATCAGCAATTTGAGGAAGACCACATTGATTGATATATACAGATAAATAAATAATGAGCAATACAATTTTTAATACAGAGTAAAAAATTTAACCTAAGGCGAACAAAAAGTTAAGACTCGGTTTTGGCTTAAAATATGTCACATTTTCAGCCTGTAAAATGGTCACTCTCTATGACATACAAAATACCCTTATATACTTCACTGTATCTCTGGCTGTGTTATAAGAACTTTTATTCTGTTGAGAAAACCAACTTGAAGAGAAATTGTTCCTGAAAGAGAAGATTTACTGGTATCTCTCTTTGACTTTCGGCTATTTCGTGATACCTGAAGAGTTTGTATTTACTACATCCAGTCTTAGTTTCAATCATTTAGTCTTAGTTTCAATCAGGAGTCTTGTATTTTCTTCATTCAATCTTAGTTTCAATTAGGGACATCTTTGATCGATTCACGCACTGAACAACAAGAAATTTAATAACATTAGCAGTTTGCTGAGCTTGATTTTTCATTTTTGTTGTTATGGCGAAACATAGAATTCAGCATGCACGCAGGGATATCTGCAAATAATACAAGTGTAGAAACAGTCATTTGTGAGAAAATAAGAAGCCACATTAATTACATGATGCAGCTGGCACCTATTGAGACGATTCCTTCCAAGAAAGGAAGTTTTATTCATCCCGTCTTGGATGTCCTTTTACTTTCTCTATCTAGAATAATGACATATCCGGGGGAAAATATCATATAAACCATATCAAGTGAATTCTGTCAATAAGTGAATCAAAGAATGAATAGGCAAGATATATGTATATAATATATATAATGCATTCAAACGGGCAGAACTACCACATCCTCCAGTCAGTATCCTGCACATCGCCCAATGTAATATACTTGATTACGTGTGCCAAGTGCCATTTGCAGTATGTGGGGGAGACTAAAACACCACTTAATCTCAGGATCAACAATCACCAACGTCAAACAGAAACGCCCGAATCTGCCTGTAGCAAGACATGTCAACATGCCAAGTCATCCGTGGCATGACATGCAGATGGTACCCATTAACCATGGCAGGAGTTGGGGTGACCAGCTACGCTTCAGTAAGGAACGACACTGGATCAACCAACTCCAAACTTGCCACCCACTCGGCATGAACGAGAGGCTACCAAGCTACCACTGAGGCAACTAGTGTATCACCCAACTATTATTGCACTTTATTTATTTAGTTACTACATCTGTTTTCCTTCCTATTTGAGATTGGTACCGTTGATTAACTCTGAAACGATTGATTCCATGTGATTTACAACAGTACACAATAAATGATTAGCAGTGTAGACTTGTAGTAGTTATTTCTATAGTTTGTAAAAGAAAAAGCACTTTTGATTGGTTGTTTGAAAGAAGGCATTTCATTAGATGGGTAGTCGTATAAATAGAGGTTCCACCAGACGAAAAGCTCTCTCTCTCTCTGATGCTGACAAACGAACGTAAAGGATCTCTAGCTGAAAATAAAAGGTAACAGTGACCAGGCTGTAAAAGTTTGGGCCTAGCTGAATAAGTTAGGGCTCCACTGTAATCCTTTAAAATCGGAACCAATAATTCTTACACGTCTTATACAAGTGTACAAAGTCACGGGAGATCACAGTACAGGGTGATGTGTAGTTGATCAGGTACATTGACAGGGTACCGAGGCACAGGTTTTGCCGTGACACAGTGTATAGCTGACTTGGTCAAAGTGGTTGAGGCAAAAGGTGACGCAGTCAATGCACGTGTGTCGCGGTGAAGGCTGACGTGGTCAAAGTGTGTCACGGTCAAGTTTGTACAGTCACGGATGTTGTGGTAAAAGGTTAATTATTTACTACCGACACAGGGTGGCGGGTATATATGTGATTTAGTGTTTTAGTTGGTATTGAGATTCTATACATGTCAGTGTTAAGGTGCAATAAATGTTAGTTATCTACCGTGTGTAGTTTAGAGTATAGTTATTGAATTCGTATAGTTTATATCATTATTTGAGAGGTAGACAGGCCAGTATTTTGTATATATATGGTGGGCATTTTACTGTTTGTTAAACAGTTACTGGGTCCAAGATAGAACTTGGTAACGAACTGACAGTACGCATCCGTTACAACTCTAATCTGGAAGGAGAAATTTTCAATTTATGGGACGACTTTTCTTTGGGCGAGTTGACGATTTTTGGAACGATTTAACCATATTAAAAATTATATTTTGAAAATAGATATATTTCTTGCATTTAACTGGAGGTTTTTTTTAAATCAAATTACTTTTTACATTTTTCTTATTTTTAATCAAAGAATTCATTGCGAATATGGCCGAGATGTACCGGTAGACTACTTTCCTCGGAGTGTGACGTGCAATTGTTTTTGTTGCGCTCAGTGTCTAGAGTGAAGAACATACCTAGATTCATGTAAAACATTTTTGATATTTTAAGCACCATCTTACATACAACTATTTGGGGTGGTTTTTTGTCCGCTATAAAGGGCCTTCGGATTATCGAAAACCCACAAGGACAAAGACCTACTAGGACATAATCCCACTGTTGATGTTAATTAAGTAATTTTTGAGTACTAAAAGATATTGCCTCAGCCAAGATCAGATGCAAATTTTGTAACATTTTACTCAAAATTTCAAAAGTCCTTATATGGCCATATTCTTTTTATTTTTCACTTATATATAGTTCAAGGTATCAGAATTTACACACTTGATACATATACTATGATTTATTGACAAATAATCTTCAAAAATAATTAATTATTAAAATTGTAATTCATGCACCCTAATTGCCTTTGATAATGAAATAGCTGCAAGATAAAAGTAAATGTGTACAAACATTTTCCTTTTATAACGTCCACACCATGGGAACACAGTCCGTCTGCCTTGAGACTGTAATCAAAATAGCATATATAAGTACATGACTTTCATCGAATTGTGTGCAACACCTTTCACATACCATTACACACAAATGTTCCTTAAATGATGATGATACATTGTTGGCAAAATTATTATGTATATAGCGTTATAAATAGTAAAAAGACCTAATAACAATAGTAACCTTTTTAAGCATTACAATAGGCAAACTCACGTCGGTAAAATTATTATTCTCGTGTACGACAAAACTCCAGAATGGGTGCTGTATAATAGTATTGTTATCTAGTTATATTCATTATTGTGATTATTATTCAACCAAAAGATGGTACAGAACAAATACAACATACATATAATATTGCAGAACAAAAGCATGCCCTATCTGACATGTACAGTGGGATTCCTCGACCCGTTGGGATGTTGTGTCGACAGACAACACCGGCATATGAGGCTTGTCATTCTTCCGCTGACTGTATTTGTTTTATGTTCTATGTATGTGATGTAATGAATGTAATATTTGTGTCTTGATAAAGAGGAAAGTTGCCTAAAAAAATTGACAATTCGCTTGTCCGTACTGTTACTATTACTTCAATGTATATATATATACTAAAACGAAAAAGAAACGCCGTGTAACCTAAAAAGATTCTTTTAAATGATATAATGTAATGTTACATTATTTCATTCATTTTTGTATACAATTTCATCTGTTTGGAACCATTTGTTGAAGGTTCTATCGATTATCAATGCTAATTATGCCAAAAATAGCCCCCTTTTAGCGATGACCCTACTTGTATTGCGCAACACGGCCGGACATTTCAGTATCTTGTGTGTCCTCCATGCGCAACTGTCGCAGCCCTGATTCTTCTATGCATGGAATTCATCAGGGTGTTAACCCTTGCAATGGCGATGTTATTCCATTCTTCATGCAAGACACGTGTGAGCTGGACCAGATTAGTGGGGGCATTTGGACGTCTCCTAACTTTCCTATCCAATTCGTCCCACAAATGCTCAATTGGAGACAAATCTGGACTGAATGCTGGCCAATCGATTGGGATTACGTTATTGTTGGCAAGAAATTGCTGACAAACTCTAGCGACATGGGGCCGGGCATTGTCTTGCTGGAATATCAGGTTCCGTGCTTGCACACACGGCACGGCAACTGGGCTAAGGATTTCGTCTCTATACCTTACGCCGGTTAAATTACCGTCAATCACGATCAGGAGTGATTTAAACCCATAGGAGATACCGCCCCAAACACATACTGAACCACCGCCAAACCTATCCCGCTCAGCGACGCACGCGTCGGTGTAACGTTCCCCTTGACGTCGATATACACGACGTCGCCCGTCCGAACGGTAGAGAGTGAACCGGGATTCGTCAGTGAAGAATACCCGTCTCCATTGCCTCATAGGAAAATTTCTGGGCGAGTGTACTTGTAACCAAGCGAACATAGGGACGTCGGGCTCTTAGGCTATTGACGCGTAATCGGTTTCGAACCGTATCAGGATGAATATGGCGGTTATGACTGCCTATAGTGTTATTTGCAGTTTCGGTAGCTGTGAGATGGCGATTACGTAAGTGAGAAAGTCTTATAAACCGATCCTGATGTGGCGTCGTGACGCGCGGACGTCCGCTTCGCAGTCGGTCGATGACCCTCCCCGTCACTCGCACACGTTGGACAAGACGTTGAATTGTCCGAATATGCACACCAAAATGTGCAGCAAACTGAAGTTGGCCCTGACCCTGCAAAAGCATTCTTATAGCCTGTCCCCGCTGGACTTCCGTCAATCGTGGCATGGATGTAAATTTGATTCGAATCAAACTTTGAAAAATCAATCCGAATACATGAAAGTATCAAATAGACTGAAAACTTCCATTGGCGAACTCAATGACCTTCCCCTGCACGGGATTCTTGTATTTTAGCACGTGCCTCGCACGGAGCGCGGAGGTCAGGTATTGTGTGATTTTAAACACGTGTACCTAGTGACCGCGAACAACACATCAACCTGACCGAGTGTCATTATTCTAGGCCAAGCAATAAATCATTTGTAGTATATTTAGTGTACCCGGCGTTTCTTTTTCGTGTTAGTATATATATTGATGCAAATCAAAATAATGATGGAAAAACTTAAGAATATGAGAGCTTTAACTTTGAGAAAATATTTCTAAAACCCCTCATTTTCCGCAATAGTATGCAATCAATATAACATTTTCTGACTAGATAGGTCTTATTTAATTCCCAGACGTATTATATTTAGCGTATATATTCGAATTTTAGTTAATTTTCATTATGTCGGAATTTTCAGTAACAGTTTCTGATTCTGCTTTTAACCTGTTTTTTTATGTTTTTTTTTTTTCCTTTTTTTTAATAGTACCAACAGAGATCTTGGGCAGAGCTCCATCTGATTCTGAAATCCAACTCATCATCAAAAACATCGGCGAAGCTTTCTTCACCTTCTGCTTAGAGATCGGATTATCACCTCCAGACATAGAGCAGCAAATAATTTGCCATCCTGATAACTTTGGGGAAAGGATGACAGCTCTCCTTCGGCGTTGGAAAAATGGCTTCCCGAAGGAGGCAACAATAGGCAGATTGTTGAAAGCGATGAAAATGTGTCGTATGGACTGGTATACAACGACACAAATCTGGTCAACTTGTTCGGGGGATGAGGCTACTGGACCAAGAAGAAGAAAACTGTTCAATTAAATATTTAATCGTGTCACACATATATATACTCAAGATATAGAAACGCAAGGTAAACTTTGAAGATGATTCTAGACAAGACGTCGAGTATAATTTTCAATCTTAGAATGAAGATTAATCCATATAGAATAAACTGCAAATTCAATGATTTGTATCTGGTAAGTGATTTAGGTGTAGTTAAAGGGAACGGAAAGAGAACTCTGTAATCTGAAATCGAAATGGACTGATTATGGGAGCTGGCTAGGCAATACCAGGTATGTCCCCCATTCGCTCTCTCCACAGCCCTGATCCTCATCGGCATGGAGTTCATGAGTGAGTTTATCCTCCTCATTGGGATGTTGGCCTATTCTTCCAAGAGGGCTGTTTTCAGTTGGGCCAGAGTAACAGGGGAGGTTGGCGTCGTTGAACCTGTCAATCCAGCTCGTCCAACAAGTGTCCAATAGAGGATAGGTCAGTGCTGTATTGGGGTCAGTCCAGTGGGTGGATATTGTTGTTAGTGAGAAAGTCGCTGGAGAGATACTTTATAAGGGGAGGCAACAATAGGCAGATTGTTGAAAGCGATGAAATTGTGTCAGATGAACTGGTCCGCAACAGCTGAAATCTGGCCAAGGTGTCATGGTGATGAGGGTACTATACCAAAAACGTGCAATTAAATGTTATCTATTCTTGACTAAAATCCTAAAGGAATAATAAACAAAAAAAAAACATCATAAAATGAACATATCTTTTAGACAATGTGTGTTTAAAACTCTCATTCTGAGGTCAACTGCCCTAAGGACAGGCGAGCTTATGTCGGTGCTCGGCATCCTTCGTCTGTACGACCGGCGTCAACTTTACCGTTCAAACGACTTCCCAATTACCATGTCCAAGGGTACTGATGATGGACCTGTAGAATGCTGTGATGAAGAGCTACTATCGAAAAACCTTGACCTACTCTCTAGGTCTTAGAGTCAAATATGTTAAGATATTCAAAGGCTTTCTTCACAGTAACCAAAAAGAATCACATGAGTTGAAACCTTCAAGTAATCACCGTTGAAATCTTCACCTTTTTCTCCGACACAAAAACAAAAGTCTTTGGAACTGATATTGATCATGTGTTTGTTTATAAGCTTGCTTAGGGAATGAACTTTCAAGTTTGTTCTAACCGATCTTTTTCCCAACCAAGTTTTCTTTGAAAGTCCTGTGAAAAATTGCCTTTGTTTTACTGTAAATATTATCAGAACTCTTCCCCGTATCGAAAGTAAATGGTCACATGAATATGTTGTAAAAAGAAATGCTTTTTACCATTGCTAATAGCTGAACAAAATCATGTGTCTTTTATTACAATTCACGTATATACGATATATCATTGGCTTATCACTATAGATTACTTACTTGTCCGTATTCGATTATACCTACATTTAGATGTTAGGATTTACGAAAACGTATTGTTACATATAGAATGTGATCTCAAACGATTTCAAACGAAAAGGCCCTAACTTCCGTATTTTAATCGTTTTAGCTGTTAGGAAGGGATAGACATATTAATCATTAATGTGTATGAAATGTTAAAAACAAAACAAGCACACTTTGATTACACTTGTTTGATTACACTTGTTTGATTACACTTGTATGATTACACGTGTTTGATTACATGTGTTTGATAACACTTGTTTGATTACACTTGTTTGGTTACACGTGTTTGATTACACTTGTTTGATTACATTTGTATGATTACACTTGTTTGATTAAACGTGTTTGATTACATTTGTTTGATTACACTTGTTTGATTACACGAGTTTAATTACACTTGTTTAATTACAATTGTTTGATTAAACTTGCTTATTACACTTTTTTGATTACACTTCTTTGATAACACTTGTTTGATTACACGAGTTTAATTACACTTGTTTAATTACAATTGTTTGATTAAACTTGCTTATTACACTTGTATGATTACACTTCTTTGATAACACTTGTTTGATTAAACGTGTAATCATACAATTGTATGGTTACACGTGTTTAATTACACTTGTATGATTACACTTGTTTGATTACACGTGTTTAATTACAATTGTATGATTACACGTGTTTGATTACACTTGTTTCATTACACTTGCTTATTACACTTGTTTGATTACACGTGTTTGATTACACTTGTTTGATAAAACTCGTATGATTACACTTGTTTGATTACACTTGTTTGATTACACTTGTTTGATTACACGTGTTTGATTACACGTGTTTGATTACACTTGTTTGATTACACTTGTTTGATTACACGTGTTTAATTACACTTGTATGATTACACGTGTTTGATTACACTTGTTTCATTACACTTGCTTATTACACTTGTTTGATTACACGTGTTTGATTACACTTGTTTGATAAAACTCGTATGATTACACTTGTTTGATTACACTTGTTTGATTACACTTGTTTGATTACACTTGTTTGATTACACGTGTTTGATTACACTTGTTTGATTACACTTGTTTGATTACACTTTTTTATTACACTTGCTTATTACACTTGTTTGATTACACTTGTATCATTACACTTGTTTAATTACACGAGTTTAATTACACTTGTATGATTACACTTGCATGATTGAATTTGTTTCATAAGACGTGTTTGAATACACTTGTATGGTTACACTTGTTTGATTACACTTGTATGATTACACGTGTTTGAATACACTTGTTTAATTACACGTTGTTTGATTACACTTGTATGATTACACGTTTTTGATTACATTTGTTTATCACACGTGTTTGATTACACTTGTTTGATTACACTTGTTTGATTACACTTGTATAATTACACTTGTTTGATTACACTTGCTTATTACACTTGTATGATTACACTTGTATGATTACACTTGTTTGATTACACTTGTATCATTACATTTGTTTGATTAAACGTGTTTGTTTACACTTGTATGATTACACTTCTTTGATTACACTTTTTATTACACTTGCTTATTACACTTGTTTGATTACACTTGTATCATTACACTTGTTTGATTACACGTGTTTAATTACACCTGTATGATTACACTTGTACGATTCCATTTGTTTCATTACACGTGTTTGATTACACTTGTATGGTTACACTTGCTTGATTACACTTGTATGATTACACGTGTTTGAATACACTTGTTTGATTACACGTTGTTAGATAACACTTGTTTATTAAACGTGTTTGATTACATTTGTTTGATTACACTTGTTTGATTACACGAGTTTAATTACACTTGTTTAATTACAATTGTTTGATTAAACTTGCTTATTACACTTTTTTGATTACACTTCTTTGATAACACTTGTTTGATTACACGATTTTAATTACAATTGTATGATTACACGTGTTTGATTAAACTTGCTTATTACACTTGTTTGATTACACTTCTTTGATATTGTTTGATTACACGTGTTTAATTACATTATGATTACACGTGTTTGATTACACGTTTTTGATTACACTTGTTTGATTACACTTGCTTAATACACTTGTATGATTACACTTGTTTGATTACACTTGTACACTTGTTTGATTACACTTGTATGATTACACTTGTTTGATTACACTTGTTTGATTACACTTGTATGATTACACTTGTTTGATTACACTTGTTTGATTACACGTTTTGTATTACACTTGATTACACTTGTTTGATTACACTTGTATCATTACACTTGTTTGATTTAATTACACTTGTTGATTACACTTGCATTGTTTGATTTTGAATACACTTGTATGGTTACACTTGTGTTGATTAAACGTTGATGATTACACGTGTTTGATTACATGTGTTTAATTACACTTGTATGATTACACTTGTTTCATTACACGTGTTTGATTACATTTGTTTGTTTACACTTGTTTGATTACACTTGTATTACACTTGTTTGATTACACGTGTTTGATTACACTTGTTTGATTACACTTGTATGATTACACTTGTTTCTTTACATGTGTTTGATTACACTTGTTTGATAACACTTGTATGATTACATTTGTTTGATTACACTTGTTTGATTACACACGTGTTTGATTACACTTGTTTGATTACACTTGTATAATTACACTTGTTTGATTACACGTGTTTAATTACACTTGTATGATTACACTTGTATGATTACACTTGTTTGATTACACTTGTTTGATTAAACGTGTTTGATTACACTTGTATGATTACACTTGTTTGATTACACTTGTTTGATTACACGTGTTTGATTACACGTGTTTGATTACACTTGTATGATTACACTTGTTTGATTACACGTGTTTAATTACACTTGTATGATTACACTTCTTTGATAACACTTGTTTGATTACACTTGTTTGATTACACTTGCGTATTACACTTGTTTGATTACACTTGTATAATTACACTTGTCTGATTACACGTGTTTAATTTCACTTGTATGATTACACTTGTTTGATTACACTTGTTTAATTACACTTGTATGATTACACTTGTATGATTACACATGTTTAATTTCACTTGTATGATTACACTTGTTTGATTACACTTGTTTGATTACACTTGTATGATTACACTTGTATGATTACACGTGTTTAATTACACTTGTATGATTACACTTGTATGATTACACGTGTTTAATTTCACTTGTATGATTACACTTGTTTGATTACACTTGTTTGATTAAACTTGTATGATTACACTTGTATGATTACACGTGTTTAATTACACTTGTATGATTACACGTGTTTTATTACACTTGTTTGATTACACTTGTATAATTACACTTGTCTGATTACACGTGTTTAATTACACTTGTATGATTATACTTGTATGATTACACGTGTTTAATTTCACTTGTATGATTACACTTGTTTGATTACACTTGTTTAATTACACTTGTTTGATTACACTTGTTTGATTACACTTGTATGATTACACTTTGTTGATTAAACGTGTATGATTACACGTGTTTGATTACACGTGTTTGATTACACTTGTATGATTACACTTATTTGATTAAACGTGCTTGATT